GCCCTCTCACAGTCTGGGACCCCTCGGGAGATAACCACCTGCTGGCTTAGGCCCGCTCCCCAGGTGGCAGATGGCAGGCCCGATCCCTGGGTCGCGCACACGGCAGGGCCGATCCGGGGGTTGGAGCGCTGCCCTGGGTCAGGTCGCACATGGGACGCCCCGGGTCGGGTTGCACACGGGACTCCCTGGGTGGGTCGCACACAGACGTCTGCCACCCTGGGTCGCAGATAGCAGGCCCGGATGGTGGCAGGGCAGGCGGGATGGCGCTGTCCCGCCCTGCCTGCAGTATACAAATTAGCCACCATCTTTGTTGGTTAATTTGCATATCGCGCTGATTAGCCAATGGGAAGGGTAGCGGATGTACAGCTAATTACCATGTTTGTCTATTATTAGATAGGATACCTTAATTTATTTTACCAGTTTTCTATTGATGAACATTTAAAATGTCTTCATCACCCTGGCCATTGTGGCTCAGTGATTAGAATGTTGGCCCACAGACTGAAGGGTCACTGGTTTGATTCTCAGTCAAAGGCACATACCTGGGTTTCAGGTTCATTCCCCAGCCATAGTTTGGGTATGTCCAGGAGGCAACCAATAGTTAATGAATAAATAAACAGAGTTGACTGATTCCATTTCCTTGACCCTACCCAGCGTTCATTTTCCTCCTATTTCTCTAATTTCTTCCATTCATACCCCTTTTCCTCTTCCCAGCCCCTAAATACTGATTCCCATTATGTACTTGGCCTTCTGTTCTCCTTTATTGCCCCATTTAGCCATCAATCAAGTACCCGGCCCAAATAAATAAAGAGCCCAAACCAAATTCCACCACCTCTATCATGCTTAAATTTTATCACATGTGCCAGAATAACTAAACACTGAGGAAGTTCAGAGTTAAGCAGATGTTCTACATTCTTGAGATATTGCTTCTGACTTGACATTTAAGAGTAGAACAAAACACTCTAGTTGCCAAGTTAGTAAAGAAGTACTGATACTTCTATCTTGAGACAGAATCAGCATGGCTTTTGTCTTCATTTGCTAAACCAATGCTACCCAAATGAAATACATTAATTAGCTTTAAAAATCAATTGAATAATCAATAGTGACAGCCAGCTGCTTCAGTAAGGCAAAAGATAAAAAGGTCTTTGGGTCCAAGTATCAGAGCCATCTGGACTTAGACACCAAAAATCCAAGGTATCTTATCTTATCTAATAAAAGAGAAACATGCAAAAAAAAGAGAGAGAGAGAAACATGCAAATTGACTGTATCTTTGCTACACTCACAAGCCACGCCCACCAGTCAATCAGAGCGACTATATGCAAATTAACCCAACCAAGATGGCAGCCAGAAGCCATGGAGCTGGAGCAAGCAGGAGACTTGGTTGCCCCAGTGATGGAGGAAGCCAAGCTTCCCGCCTGCCCTGGCCAGCTGTCGGCTCCACTCAAGGCAACAAAGTTTCAGTTATAGAAGATAAATAAACCCCAGATACCTGCTTCCAGCCAGCCTCCACTGAGAGCTTGGGTGGCTGGGGGGCTTGGCCAGCCTGCAAACAGCCATCAGCCCCTCACCCAGACTGGCCAGGCACCCCAGCAGGACCCCCCTCCCTGAAGGGGGTGTGGCCAGCCTGAAAACGGCCCTCAGCTCCTCACCCAGGCTAGCCAGGCACTCCAGCAGGGACCCCCATCCTGAAGGGGGTGAGGCCAGTCTGAAAACGGCCCTCAGACCCTCACCCAGGCTGGCCAGGCACCCCAGCGGGACCTCCACCCTGATCTGGGACACCCTTCATGGCAAACCAGCCGGCCCCCAGCCATGCACCAGGCCTCTATCCTATATAATAAAAGGGTAATATGCAAATTGACCCTAACAGCAGAATGACTGGTCACTATGACACACACTGACCACCAGGGGGCAGATGCTCAATGCAGGAGCTGCCCCCTGGTGATCAGTGCGCTCCCACAGGGGGAGCTCTGCTCAGCCACAAGCCAGGCTGACAGCTGCCAGTACAGCGGTGGTGGTGGGAGCCTCTCCCGCCTCCTCAGCAGTGCTAAGGATGTCCGACTGCAGCTTAGGCCTGCTCCCCGCTGGTAAGTGGGCATCCCCCGAGGGCTCCCGGGCTGCCAGAGGGATGTCTGACTGCCAGCTTAGGCCCAATCCCCCAGGGAGTGGGCCTAAGCCAGCAGGTGGACATCCCCTGAGGGGTCCCAGACTTCAAGAGGGCACAGGCTGGGCTGAGGGACCCCCCTGAGTGCACAAATTTTTGTGCACTGGGCCTCTAGTAATCGTAATAAAAGAAAACTATTTCTATGTTATAATAACATACTCTCAGGACTAGAATGGCCCTTATAGATCATTTAGTTAGAACTCCATGCAAGACAAATTTCTGAGCTTCTTGGGAATAGATCTTGTTTAGTTGTTTTTCAGCTTCTACTAGTATAGCCCAACATAGGGCTGTGAACAGAGCAAGCCTTGAGAAATGTATTGTTCAATTGATTGTTAATTGGAGAAATTATGAAGAAAATAAAGAAAAACACTAAGGAAACCTTAGTTTTGGCTTGGATCTCTAGACTCCTAAATGCTAAGCTATTTGACCAGTTTCTCTTCCCTTGGGAAATAGACCTTGGGCAAGTCTTGGCTGGGTAGCCTATCTAGCCTTCCTGGGCAAGGTTTAGCCTCAGGACTGAATAATTTTGGTTCTCCAAAAGGATGCTGATGTCTTCCCAAGGCAGGGCCCAGCAAGATTCCTCATACTTGAGTAGTATCTGTACTCCAGGCCTGTAGGTGGGTTTATTCTTTTCTTTAGGCTTTATAGATGGAGGAGGTGGAGGAGAAGCCCTTTTTGTAGGGAATTACTTGGTCTCATTCTTCTGCTTTTCTTGAGTGCTTAGATTCAAGCTCTGACATCTTAGATCAAATGATTATAGACTCAAAGATAGAAAGTAAGATGGTTCTGTCAACATCTTCAGATTGGGACTGAAGAGGTAGCAAGTTCCCATTTTCACTTAGCAAAACAACAGCTTAGATGTAGGCCAAAACTATTCAAACTCTCTCAGGACAATTAAGGGGCAGATGATTTTCTAATGCTAACAGCAACCAATGTCGGAACCTTCAGTGGGCTAGGGGTGAAAGACAGTAATTTGCTTTTGGCATTGACATCCTTCAGCAATGAAACCAGCATGTAAAGACACACCAAAATGAGTTTTCCAGACTAAGAAAACCTTCATTAGAGAACTCTGGAGTGGAGCAAACACAAATAACTTGCCTATTTAGAAGTGAGGAGGACCTTAGAGGCCAGAGGGTAAGATGAAATGGAAGGATTTATGATTCTAAGAAGAAAATGTATTTGGATGGCTACACAAGTGGTCTGAATCTCAGGGGACAGCACGATCCCAAGTCTGCAACTTTTTGTCCCAGCCTACCTGACAGAAAGTGATCTTTGGCAAATAACTTCGGCAATTTACTCATCCTCAAAAGGTGATCATATAGTATTCCCTCATAGGGTTGTTTTGAGGATTAAATAAGTTGCTACATATAAAATGATTAGAACACTGCCTTGCAGGTAATAAATATTCACTAAGTGTATGTTTTCATTGTTGATTTTATCATTATCAATAGTGTCAATAAACAAAGAATTCTCTCCAGTGCAGAAATACGTTCTGCCTCCCCCAAAAATCCGATATTGATGAACCTCGACAACTTTGCATCTCTAGACCGCTCTAGGCCTCAAAGAAAACATTGCAGGAGGGGAAGACAAATACTCTTTTCCTTCCTTTGGTAGGGGATTGTGGCTTTTTACCATTTCAGAATGGCCTTGGTCCTTTTTGTTAAGCCTGGGAGGTGGGGGTCTTTTGTTTCTCTAATTGTGCTTGTTTTCTTTTACTCACAGAACAATACCATCAAGACCTCAAAATATAATATCTTTAACTTCTTGCCCTTGAACCTATTTGAACAGTTCCAGAGACTCGCCAATGCATATTTTCTCATTTTGCTAATCCTACAGGTATTGCCTTTGGGACCTTTTCCACAGAACATTTTATCAACCTCTCTGGGGTCAGGTTGTATAATCCGCCCTTCTCATCCCTAAACTGAGAAATGCCCTCTCTCGTTAGGTAACGGGCAAGTGGATGGCTGGGATCTCGGGCCAGGCCTCTAGAGTAGCTTTGGTCAGGATTAGCCAGGATGAAACAAGCCTCTCCAGGAGGAAGGAAACAAGGTCATTGGATCCCAAGGAATGGGGGCTCCTCATTATGGCTGCATGGCCACAGTTCAGCCTGACCATAAGAGGCTAAAGACTCTTCACCCCAACCACAGCTACCTCCCTCTTCCTCCTTCTTGTCCCAGCCTACCCGACAGAAAGTTAAAATGCAGGCATGCTGCCGAAGGAGCATGGTCTAGACCAGCCTTGGGCAAACTACGGCCCGAGGGCCGGATCCGCCCGTTTGAAATGAATAAAACTAAAAAAAAAAAAAAAGACCGTACCCTTTTTTTTTTGTTTTGTTTTTTTTGTTTTGTTTTTTTGTTTTTTAAATATATTTTTATTGATATCTTACAGAGAGGAAGGGAGAGGGATAGAGAGCCAGAAACATCGATTAGAGAGAAACATCGACCAGCTGCCTCCTGCACACCTCCCACTGGGGATGTGCCCGCAACCAAGGCACATGCCCTTGACCGGTATCGAACCTGGGACCCTTCAGTCCGCAGGCCGACGCTCTGTCCACCGAGCCAAACCGGCTTTGGCAAGACCGTACCCTTTTATGTAATGATGTTTACTTTGAATTTATATTAGTTCACACAAACACTCCATCCATGCTTTTGTTCCGGCCCTCCGGTCCAGTTTAAGAACCCATTGTGGCCCTCGAGTCAAAAAGTTTGCCCACCCCTGGTCTAGAACATAAGAATATCAGCACAGAGCAAGGAAGTAGGACAGGGTGGGCCCAAATTAGGAGAGAGGGACCGATCATCTCATTTTCCTTGTGCTGAAGAAGTGTGGGAGGTTCTGTGGTTTTCCCATGTCCATTCTTACCCGCCTATCCCCAGCACCCTCATTTTCACAGGAGAAATGGCCCTTAGCCATCAAAACAAATGTGGTAGAGTTCAGGACACATAGGTAGCAACTTATAGTCTCTTCTTTTTTCCTTAGTCCTTGGGAGATGTTTACTTATATTTGGGGATTATATGAAGGCTGCAAACTGTGAAAAGCAACCAGGATAGTTGAATTCATTACGAACCTATGGAGATGAAATGGTGTTGTGGTAAGGGGAAGTATATTGTCCTTTAAGCTTTCTGACCCAAGTTTCTCTCCCTTCCCTCTCACAGTTGATTCCCCAAATCTCCTCCTTGGCCTGGTACACAACTGTGATACCTCTGATAGTGGTACTGTCCATAACAGCAGTGAAAGATGCCATCGATGACCTGGTAACGTGGCTTTCTAGGCCTTTAGTTCCTCACCACCTAGTCAGGCTGGGGGGCAAGAAGGACTCCCCAGAACTAGCTAGTGCTAAGAAGAAGCACTGAATGGAGAGAGGAATATGTAATTTTCATAGGCCCAGGATTGGTGGTCTATGCATGGCCAGAAAGAGGCAATGCAAGGCTATTCTCTGTCTTCCTATTACGACCACTCAGCTCCTTTTCCAGGCTTCCTTCCATTTCCTTTTTAATAACTCCCCTCTTCTTTTACTTCCCTCTTAGCTTTCTCTGGGTTTGCTCTCATCCTTTCTCCATTCGCTCTTCTCTTGTTTTTATATCTATCTTCCCTTCATCCTTCGGTCTCCTCCTCCCTCTTTTTCCTGTTCTCATCTTCCCTTTGCACATTTCATTTCTCCTTTCCAACTCTCCCTATTTCCCTTTCCGACTTTCAAACTTTTTTGTGTGTGTATTTTTTTGTGTTTTTTTTTGTTGTTGTTAATCCTCACTTTTAGGGAGAGTGGAAGAGAGAGGGAAAGACAGAGAAACATTGATGTGAGAGAAACTCATCTATTGGTTGCCTCCTGCACAAGTCCCGACCAGGGCTCGGGCCAGGGAGGAGGCTGAAACCAGGGTACTTGCCCTTGACCAAATCGAAACCGGGACCCTTTGGTCTGCAGGCTGACGCTCTATCCGCTGAGCCAAACCGGCTAAGGCTCAAATTATTTTTTTAATATATTTTTATTGATTTCAGAGAGGAAGGGAGAGAAAGAGAAAGATAGAAACATCAATGATGAGAATCACTGATCGGCTGCCTCCTGTACACCCTATACTGGGAATCGAGCCTGCAACCCAGGCATGTGCCCTGACTAGGAATACAATTGTGACCTCCAGGTCAACCACTGAGCCACACTGGCTGGGCTCCCTTTCTGACTTTCAATGCTATTAAGTATGCACCGCCAGGAACCCTCTGATTTTAGAAAGCCTTATGACTCTTCCTGTCCTTGGAGGGAGAAACTGGCTCCCAGTGAGTGCTGCATAGCTTCCTCTTCACAGCAGGTCCTGCATAGAAGGGTGAGGGTGAGGACCCAGTACCATGCCTACTAGTGGGATTTGGGAAGCCAGTGCTATTGACCTGCTTGCATCTTCCATAAGAGAGTTCTGATTTTACCAGAATAGATATTTAGAGCAAAGTTTGAGAGAAGGATGTTTCTCCAGCTCTTTAACTCTGTAACTCTTTAAACCCAGAATTAGCTCATGGTTTAAATTTCAATTGTAACTCAAGTCACAATGTAAAAATGGTACTTTATTTTTCTTTTTTTCTTTTTTTTTTGTTTTTTGTTTTTATTGCTTAAAGTATTACAAAGGGTATTACATATGTGTCCTTTTTTCCCCCGCCCTTGACAATCCCCTGGCCTCCCCTACCCCCCAGTGTCTTATGTCCATTGGTTATGCTTATATGCATGCATACAAGTCCTTCGGTTGTTCTCTTACCCCCTTCTCTCCTGCCCCCCAACCCTCCCCGGCCTTCCCGCTGCCGTTTGACAATCTGTTTGAGGCAGCTCTGCCTCTGTATCTATTATTGTTCAAAAGTTTATAATGGTCTCTATTATCCATGAATGTGTGAGATCATGTGGTATTTTTCCTTCATTGACTGGCTTATTTCACTTAGCATAATGCTCTCCAGTTCCATCCATGCCGTTGCAAATGGTAAGAGTTCCTTCTTTTTTACAGCAGTATAGTATTCCATCGTGTGGATGTACCACAGGTTTCTAATCCATTCATCTACTGATGGGCACTTAGGCTGTTTCCAGATCTTAGCTATTGTGAATTGTGCTGCTATGAACATATGGGTGCATATATCCTTTCTGATTGGTGTTTCTGGTTTCTTGAGTACTTTATTTTTCTATAACTAAACTCAATATTGCTGATAACAACCACCCTACCCTTTTTAAAGAACAAAACACTTAACTTGCCAATTCAGAATAACCCATTTACTTCTGGTTTAGAACTCAATCTCTTTAGGATAAATATTCTGACCAATTCAGGATTCTCTCTGCCTCCTTCCCAGTCCTACCCTTTTCTCAGGGAGAAATCTCAACTGAAAGGAGGGGATTCATGTGAGTCCTAGCACCAGGACATACCCTGTATTTGTCCCCCTTCTATTTGGTCTTTGCATAGATGACTGAGCAGAGCTGCTATTGAAAAAGTTTATGGAGTTCTTATTCATCCACTGTAGGCTTCTAAATGTGGACCATGGTTGGGGATGGGATGGGAGTATGCTTAAGGATAATTAGCTTTCCCTGTACCTACCAAGAAGTATGAGACTCTCATCCTGCCCATGTTTTTGCATTCTCTCCTCTGTGGCCTTTGATATAAGTTGTTTGTTCTCATCCCCTGGGCTTTGGCTTTTGATCTTTAAAGCTAAGATTTTCTCTCTTTCTTCTCCCTTGGTTCTTTTTCAGAATTCCCTTTTCAGCTTCTCAAAGACAGTCAGCCTCTTGGCCTGTGGTGGGTTTTTTTTTATGTTTTTTTTTTTTATTGATTTTTAGAGAGAGAGGAAGGGAGAGGGATAGAGAAAGCGTCAATGAGATAATTGTGGAATGACTTTGGGGGGTCGAGGAAAATTTCAAAGAGGGTGAACTATATTGGATAATATTTCAAAATATTAAGTTTCTACATGCCATTTGCTCAATTCTATTACCTGAACTTTTTTTTTTTTTGTATAATTTTAGAAAAGGCACCAAAATGACAATCAGGTCAACAACCGTTCTGTTCTGGTCCTGATGAATGGCAGGTAAGTCCTTCCACTCCGAAGCTAGTTTAGGCAGGACCGGCTCTGGGGGAGGGTTGGCCTTGTGAACACTTGATGTCCTGGGGGCTTTGGAAAGGTAGTTCAGGACAGTAAAAAGAACCTCAGATTGGACATAAGAAGAATTTGTTTCTATGTCTAGCATACCCTGAACGCACCAAATGACCTCAGACCTTTCTGGACCTCACATTTCTTATCTATAAAGTAGAGATCATATTCTCTACCTTAGAGGATGTTTATGACAATAAAAATGAAATAATATATATTACAGCAATTAATAAATTATGACATGGTATTAATGTGCCAGTGGTTATTATTAGTGCAGAGGTCAGCATGGAGACATCTGTCTTTAGAACCTCAGTGGATTTTAAGATGGTTTATTGGCCATTCTTTCTGTAGCCTTTGGCCAGACCATCTTTTTGTTAACAATCTAAAGAAAGTATTGGCATTGACCCCACTGCTGTGGTGTTTGGTCATAGCTATCTCAAGTGTTAGGTCAATGTTTATATTTGGTGGGGTGTTGCAAAATTTGAGCAATTCACTTATGGCAGGAATGGAGAGAGGCAGGAATAATTCCTATATAAAGCAAAATATGAAAACTGTCATAAGAGGTACAAAAATTATTATAAGAATTAATAAAAATGAGCAATCATAGCTGGTTAAAGGAATCAAGGAAGACTTTTGGGAGGAGCTGATGTTTGTGCTAGGTTTTAAGAGATGGGGAAGAATTCAACAAATAGAGATTGTATGAGAGGAAAAGTGACCAGTGTGTGCAGAAAGTATTGGCATTCTTATGTTGCTTTATATAGGAATTATTCCTGCCTCTCTCCATTCCTGCCATAAGTGAATTGCTCAAATTTTGCAACACCCCACCAAATATAAACATTGACCTAACACTTGAGATAGCTATGACCAAACACCACAGCAATGGGGTTAATGTCAATGCAAAGAAATACAACCCTGAAGGAATTCATGATTGAGGTCCAGTCTTTTTTCACATAGGCCTTATAGAACACCCAGTAACTATAGTTTTAATCAGATAATTCTATAATGTGAAGTTCTTGGAGATCTAATCCTTTTATTTATTGTGGTTGCTGATCCTTACTCAAGGTGGATTATTTCCTCAAGTGTTTTGATCTATTGAAGCCTTTCATAAGTACCACCAAAAAAGGCAGTAGTGAGTCAAAAGAACATTTTAGAAGAACATAGAGATAAAGAGAAAAGACAAAAGTGAGTGTTTTAGAAATTTGCAAGGCTAGGGAGTTACTGATCAAATGAAGTAATTTGAGCACTTGGGTTTTGTAAGATTATTGAAGAATTTGTCAGAGAGTGGTGTTGTAGTGGGAGTTCACTAGCAGGGCCCTGACTTGACTTAGTCTCCCCGTGAGTGTCTAATTAATTGAACATTGGCAGTGAGGCTGGTTGTTGAAACAGTCTATATTCCAAAAGTAGCTTTCTTCAGAGCACATGGGTCTGAGCAGAGCGGCTACTATAAAAGTTTGTCTGTTTTGCAAGTTGTGATTTCTGTTGTTTTCATTTCTCAATAGTTTTGGTTAAAGCACATCCTAGTGGAACATTCTTTATGGGGCAATCTAAGTGGCCTGAGTTCAGGTGGTATCCCTCCGAGGGTTTTTTTGTTTGCTTTTGCCAAGTAACTCATGGGTATCACCTATGCCCATACTTCATGAGAGTACAAATTCTCAGGGGAGTCCTCCACTCCCTGGCCCCAACCCTCCAGGGTAAAATAGACAAACTTTCTTGCCAATGAGTTGATTTTTTTTAGACCACCTTTTTTCTAATGGTGTTGCCCTTTCCAGAGTCTTGGCTTTATGAGGGGTTCTTAGTTCCAGCTCTCTGCCTCTAAGGATCCTAAGGCTTAATCTCTTGGCCCTTTAGAGGGCTAAAGTAAAACTCAAGTTCCTAATTATTAATACTGACTGGCAATCCCCTCCCCCACTCAGGGCAAGAACAGCTTCAGAAAATACTTCTGTTCTGAATTTCAATCCTGTCTTTTTTCCTGGCTCTTCACTTTGTGTTAAATACTGCCGTGCCTTTTTTTTTTTTTTTTTGCTTTTTTTTTAAAATTAAATCTTTATTCAGATTATTACATTTGTTCCTCTTTTTTTTCCCCCCCATAACTCCCCTCCTTCCAGCTCCCACCCCACCCTCCGCCCTCACTCCCCACCCACTGTCCTCATCCATAGGTGCACGATTTTTGTCCAGTCTCTTCCCGCATCTCCCACACCCCTTTTCCCCCCAAGAATAGTTAGTCCGTTCCCTTTCTATGTCCCTGATTCTATTATAATCACCAGTTCATTCTGTACATCAGGTTATTTATTCACTTGATTCTTAGATTCACTTGTTGATAGATGCATATTTGTTGTTCATAATTTGTATCTTTACCTTTTTCTTCTTCCTCTTCTTAAAGGATACCTTTCAGCATTTCATATAATACTGGTTTGGTGGTGATGAACTCCTTTAGCTTTTCCTTATCTGTGAAGCTCTTTATCTGACCTTCAATTCTGAATGATAGCTTTGCTGGATAAAGTAATCTTGGTTGTAGGTTCTTGCTATTCATCACTTTGAATATTTCTTGCCACTCCCTTCTGGCCTGCAAAGTTTCTGTTGAGAAATCAGCTGACAGTCGTATGGGTACTCCCTTATAGGTAACTGACT